ATCCTTTGATCCATCCATCCAACAGTTGTTTTTCAGCATTTATTATATGCCAGGCATATACTGGTAAATAAAACAGACTTGGTCCCTGAACTCTGGGGAGGGGATAGGGTGACAGACAATAAACAAGGTAAACAACAAATAAATAGTTACAAATCATACAGAGCATAATGAAGAAAGACACAAGGTATGCCAAGAGAGAATGAGTCAAAGAAGTGGAAACCTAAGGTTTCCTAGGATTGTTGGAAGACCTCTCAAGGGAGATAACTTTTAAACTGAGACATGAAAAATGACATGGACTCAGTCATAAGAAAAACAGGGTGAATAGTGTTCCAGGTTGAAGGAACACGTAGGCAAAGGCCCTAGGATAGGAGGAGTTTGTATTTTTGAGGAGCTGAAAGGAGGCTGGTGTGGCAGAAGTATAGAGGGCAAGGAGGAAAATGACACAAGGTGAGGGACAAGTAAGCAAGGGCTAGATTCCCTAGGGCTTCATAAGCCATGAGAAAGAGCTCGGAATTTTTTCACTTCATCTCTAGTTGCTGCTGAGTAGACAGAGAAATGCCTATGGGTTTGGTTATGGGTAGACAAGTTGCTTTTCATGCTGAGTATACCTTAGAATATTAAATGGATAAAACAAAATGATGTGCTCTATATGAAATGCTGCCTCTACACCTACTCAGCCCTTTGCATTTGACCTTTCTTCTGAATGTGCATATCACTACTTTGAACTTCTGTATCAGCTATTTAATATTTAGTATATGGTAAGTTATGATTATATATCATTCATATTCTGTTTTTCCCAACTAGATTATTAGCCCTTTGAGAACAGAGACCTTTGTGACTTCAGGGCCAACACACAAATCCTTACATATTATAGGCACATAGGTTTTTTTTTTTGGTTTGGCTGGTTTTTGTTTTTGAAGAATTTGGGGTTTCCTTTATTTAAAAATTTATCTACTGGTGTTCAAAAATTACTATAAGTAATACATTTCACTTACTTTTGTATATATTTGAAATTTTCTGTTATAACAAATGGAAAGCAAACTAGGTTGTTGGTAAAACAAGAAAATAAACAAACGAGATGGTGTAAAGTACAAAATAAAAATCCTTTGCTATATCATAGGGACTGCATAATTTTTGTTTTAATTGATAGTGCTAAAATTGCCTTTCCAAATAGCTATGCAGGTTTATACTTTCACTGGTAATATCTGTTTCCTAATTTTTCGTCAGCATTTCATACTGTCAAACTTTTTAACTTTTGCAAACCTGATTGTTGAAAATCGTATCAAGTTTTGTATTTCCCTGATGACAGGTAAGATTGAACATTATTTCATGTTTATTGGCCATTTGCATTTCTCTTCTTTATTCATATTTTTTGTCATTTTTTCTTCTTGAGCTATTTGTCTTCTTATTGATTGCAGGAACAGTTTATATAGTCTGGCTACTGATCCTCTGTTACATATATTGCAAATATTTTGTCCTAATCTCCTTTGTCTTTTACCTTTGTTTTTGCTTGGTTTTGTACTCAACAATAATGTATAGTGGTCCTTTTTCCATTTCAGTCTAGTCGGTATTTTTTTTTTTTTTTTTTTTTGAAACAGGTCTCTTTCCATCACCCAGGCTAGAATGCAGTGGCCTCATCATAGCTCACTGTCGCCTCAAATTCCTGGGCTCAGGCAATTCTCATACTTTAGCTTCCTAAGTAGCTGGGACTATAGGCATGCACCACCATGCCTGGCTAATGTTTCTATTTTTTGTAGAGAAGGGGTCTCACTTTTGTTCAGGTTGTTCTTGAACTCCTGGCCTCAAGCAATCCTCCTGCCTTGGCTTCCCAAAGTGCTAGGATTACAGGTGTGAGCCACCACACCCAGCCAGTCAGTATTTTTGGTGATGATATACACTGTGTGCAGCCCAAGATAGTTTTTGAAGTGATTTTTTTTTTTTTTTTAAGAGACAGAATCTTGCTCTGTTGCCCAGGCTGGAGTGCTCAAGCCTAGGCTTGAACTCCTTGGGCTCAAGCAATCCTCCTGCCTATTCAAATGATCTTTTGACATCATCCATCAACAAACCAGGAAAGTCATCACCATTTACTGTCTCAGTCCAGTGGACCCTTTTTATTTTTTTATTTTTGAGTTATTTTATAAATTACTTACAAAAATAAGAAAAGACTAGTGGAAAATAATTTCCTCAAACTTAAGAATTGATGAGTGAACTATATATTTCTAAGGATAAAAAGGAAATAAACTATTCTTGTCCAGATAGATTGAATGACTAATTTAATAGGAAAGACTTCATCATCATCATAATAATTTAAATGTAGCAATCTCAAATTTTTATTCCATATCTTCTGATTTTGAATGTGTATATATACCTGAAATGCAACTAACTACTCACTAGCTGTCATGCATGAATTTGGAATATATCATCTTGAAAATACTGATTCCAGATTTCAGATATATCTCCAATAAATTCTAGCTTGTCATTACTTCTGGTTCTTCTTGCACTTGCATCATCAAAATGTAATACTTGAATAATTTTTTGAAATCTCTGATGGTTCATAATTTTGTGGAAGAGAGGACAGCTATCTCCTTTGCTCCATAATTCAAGTATTTCTATTTTTAGATTTATAGATACCAATTAGAATGACTATCCAATGATTTTTTATTTATTTGTCACTGTTACTCTTCCAGTCACCTTTGCATACTTGCCTTCAGCATTGTCAACTTATGAACTATATCAAATACAATTTGACACACAAATATCATAAAAGATGAAAGAATATGGTCACATGTCTTTGTAGTATAACAGAACGGTCCAGGTTCTTGTAAAATATTGTGTGATGAAGTCTTTCCTGTTGAATGACTAACTGGACAAGAATAACTTATTTCCTTCTTGTCCTTAGAAATATATAGTTCACTCATTAATTCTTAAGTTTGAGGAAATTCTTTTAGTATATTGCCATCTGAAGATTCATAGTCTGAATTTTGCTTGTACAATCAATCTGACCATTATCATTAGAGTCTAGAGTGCTGCTATTTATCTCTTTGCACTTACCTTCTGATTTGTCTAAGAATTGTGAAATGTCTTCTCTGTCAATTTACTTTTTATTGTCATTATGGAGGGGAAATTTTAAATTTTTGGATTCTTAACTGTATTCAATGAAAGCTAAAAGCACGTTACAAATATAGTGTCTCTAATCATTTATACCTTATTGAAAGATGATGCAGTATTTTGGGTGATGCAATATTTTGGGCAATGCAATAAGAAAATTGAGGGATTATGCAAAGTGATGATTTATCATTATTGCATTATCCTTTTCAGTGATTTCATCATTCTTTTTTTAGTATTTTAATTTTTTTAAAAAGCATAGTTGTAAATAATTCAAGATATAGAAAAAAAGAAGACTGACAAGATCCTATAATGTACCTTAGATTTATAAAAAGGTACTGTGGGACCATATGGACTAGCAATCCTCCCAAATAGTAAGGAATTATTTCAAAAAGAAAGTCATAAACTAAAATTGGGTCCAGCGAACCCTGCTGTTACACCAAGGGCTGAGTTGACCAGAAATATATAATGACTATATTAATGAATGAAGCCTTTATTGTGAGTCAAGGAAATGACACTTAATTAGTTTTAGCCTTTCTTTACTAAACTTAAGCTTGCAGGAATTTGCTCCAGGTTGCGTCTTTCTGTCCTGAACTTCACCTTATCTGTGCAGCATAGAATAGTAAATTAACTTCTTTTTGACTGGAGTGAGTGCTTCCTCCTCCTGTTCATTTTTTTTCAGGAGCCCTACTTTGTCTGTGTGTCTCTCCTCTAAGCCTCTTTTCTCTGTCAAAGCCCTTGAGCTGTTAGCTTTTGAAGTGGAGTGCATCTCTGTTGAGCACAGGGTCCCAGTTGGGGAGAATCTCTAGGAGGTGTATATGCCAAGCACGATATCATTGTGTGCAGGCATTGCAGGAGTCTGCCAAACCCAGGGCTAGGCTGCCAGTACAAATGCCACGTTGACATGACATTTACAAGTTTAGAATTTGGAAAAGGACTGGCAGTGGAACACCCCTCAGCTACCTCATTTAGGGTGGCAGTAACTAGGCTAACTTTTGATTTTCAGACTCAGAAATCACAGGAAGTAATACTTTATATAGAATTTAAAACTATCATAGCAACTTTCTCTAGGAAATGATAAATCCTGTTCCTGGGATACAGGATAAACCATAATGGTTGAGAGTGCGGCTCTGGAATGAAACCTGGGTTTGAGTGAGGGTTCTGTCACTCACTGTGTGACTCTGTGCAAGTTTAAGCCTCAGTTTCCCATATATAAAGTTGGGATAATAATCTCACCTACATCATATGATTATCAGATAGATTAAATAATATATTTAAAAGTATAAGCACTTTTCACATTCTTCAGGAACTTATAAGAAATTCAGGTTTTCAGTTCTCAAATTTCAGTAATAAGTAGATATATTATAATTTGCCAGGGACATGTCACAGCATGAACTTGTATGTAGACCCTTTCCTTGACTTAGACATTACTGAACGCCATGGATGGGTATCCAGGACATAGTTTTCTTCTTCTCTCTAGGAAAATTTAGAGCTGAAGTCAGGGTCATTTGAGTATTTGGCATCTCTACAGTTTCTTGGATGCAGAAACCATTTGGATGTTAAGAATTCATTTCAGTAATAGCAGTCCTTTGATTGACTTGGAACTTTTCTATAGCACATTCTAAGGCAAAATGTAAACCCAGAGCTATTCTGAAGGATAGACTGTGGCTTATTAGGGACAATAATACACTTTGGCATAGGTAACAAAGTACTTATTCTTGATTAAATCTTTTGTCATGATGTAATACCGAAGTAATAGGTTTTTGTATGCTACTTACATAAAATATTGTTTACCACAGCACTTAGTTCGTTTCCTTTCATCACTTTCACTACCATTAGTAAATTCTCCCAAATGATAAAATTCTGTCTTTTGTTTTTCCCCCCATGTTTTTCAGATCTTCAAAGCTGCTGCGGGCATTCTATGTTCCCTTCCTGTCAGATCAGTATACAGTGTATGCAAACTACTCCATCCTCAAGCCCCGGAAAGCAAAGCAAATAAGGAAGAAAAGTGGAGGTTAGCAACACACCTGTGGCCCCAAAGGACAACCAGCTGGTTAACTAGGGATTCAGCTGATCTGACTCCCTCCAAGTCATCGCCTGTAACATTTATAATAAAGGTCTCCTGACATGAATGCTGGAATCTGGGTGCTTTGGGCTAGTCAAAATCTATTTCAGAGTCCAGTCGAAGTCACATTCACCTCTTGTCTGTGTCTCTGTTCTGCATGTAAACTTTTTGCAGCTAGACAGACAAAAGTCCTAAAGCACAGGTAGATATATTGCTTCACATCTCACTGTTTTTCTTCTGTTCAATTATTTACTAGACTGGAGAAGAGCAGAACCAACTTACAAGAAGAATTGAAAATCCCTGGACTGGATGGTTTTATTAAGCTGTGCTCCATACTCTGGCCTGGCATCCGAGAATTAGCAAAGCTCTCTTAGGCCATATGAGCTTCTCCACCAAAGCTGTTTGGCAGCTCCTAGCAGACCTTCTTGTTCAGACCCTCATGCTGAAAAAGAACACAGTGTAGTTGCCAACCCACATGTCCTTTTCACCTCCAGCAAGACTAAGTGTCTGTAAAGTACTTCACAGGACTAGGACCCTGTCCTGGAGCTATCTCAGGAAAAAGGTGACCATTTGAGGAACTGTGACTTAATTTTATTATATATAATGCCTCTAATTTTCATTTTATTTCCTTTACAACCAGCTGTAACCATGTAGTGGTTTTGTGTTTGTGTGTTTTTAAGTTTTAGCATGCTATTTCTTGAATTATAGACTCCTCTGTATAAAGGTATCAACAGACCAAACTCTGTTTAGGGCATATTTGGAGAAAATTAATCCTATCAATTGGTAGATTGGGTTGACATCACATTTTAAGTGTAATAATATATTCTGAGGCCACTGCTGAGGAAATTAAGAATTTCTCTTTTTTAAACAACCCTAGTAAAAATGACTCGTGTATATTGATAGCACCTATTTTTTAGTTCTATCTACTGTAAGGCACATCCTGCATGGGATACTTCTAGTCAAGTAGGTAATGATAATGACCTAATTAAAATGTACTAAGTATATACTATTACTTTACCTGTATGTGCAGTATTTCAGTTTACAAGGCACTTTCATAGCATCTCATTTGATCCTCACAGTTACAATGTGTGGTAGACAAGGCAGGTGATTTTATCCCCATTTTATGGATAAGGAAACAGATTTTCTGGGGTAGGTAAAGTGACTTGCCCAAGATCACACAGCCAGTAAGTAGCAGAGCTGAGACTAGAACCTAGGTTGTCTAACTTCTCATCTAGTGCTCTTCTATGAAAACATTACTTGAAAGGAGGATGAGGTTGACCAGATACCTGATTGGTATTGTAACCCTCTATTTTAAGGAAGAATTTTATCTGTATTTCTTTGAGTTCTTTGGAGCCTCCAGTCTGCCTGTGTGTTAGACCAGCACAGCAGTGCTGTGTGATGCAGCCTGGCCTGTGGCAGGAAAATAGTGCTTATATTTGGAAGTCATGTTCCTTTGCAGCCACACAGGATCCAAACATCAGTACTGTTCTTAAGTCAATCTGGGGGTGATATTATAGGTGCCTTATTTCCCTAAGAGTAATTGTTTCTAGTATCTGCAAATAGAATGATTCTGTTTTTGAGAGTTTTTCCGTCTTTTATTTTTCAAACAGAAGGACTTTCGTAGGAATTGATCCCAAGAACAGAGAAGAAAAGAGGTGATAATGGAAGAAATGGCTAGTTATCATATAAAAGATTCCTCTTTGAGATCCCTTCTAAAGGAATATCTGAGATGAAGTTACTACTGGAGAGGTAAAGGTCTGCACAGTATAGAATGATAACTGGAGAGTGAGTGAAGATAGACTAGGGTACCACTGGCTAAAGATCTCTGGCAGCTGGGCACAGTGGTTCATGCCTGTAATCCTGTAATCCCAGTGGCTCGGGAGGTTGAGGCAAGAGGATTGCTTGAGGCCAGGAGTTCAGGACCAGCCTGGGCAACATAGCAAGGCCCCATCTCTAAAAAAAAAAAAGAAGAAAAGAAAAATTAGTTAGGCATGATGTCATATACTTATATAGTCCCAGCTACTTGGGAGGCAGAGGCAGGAGGATTGCTTGAGCCCAGGAGTTTGAGGCTGCAGTGAACTATGATTGCGCTACTGCACTCCAGCCTGAGTGAAAGAACAAGATTGGCACATATGATCTGACTACAGGACAGAGAATTGTAAGTGAAACATCTTGCCTTACTTGCAGTAGTAGCCGTCCTTCATGGTAGCTCAGGTCCTCTACTTTTTGTACTTGAAAGGAGGATGAGGTTGACCAGAGACCTGATTGGTATTCTAACCCTCTATTTTAAGGAAGAATTTTATCTGTATTTGTTTGAGTTCTTTGAAGCCTCCAGTCTGCCTGTCTGCAGGGGTAAGTAAAAGAGTCCAGTAATGGAGAGCCATAGTAAGTGGCTTTTTTCTAATCAAAGTGGTACAAAGCTGATGTTTTATCATCTTGATTGTTTAAAAAAAAATAGGTCTTCTGAGTAAGACCTTAATTATAAGATAGCACAGAAAGGGGCCAGGATTGATACAGGGGTTCTTTGGAAATATCAGTTCCTATTCCTTTTAAAAGCTGATTTTGGTTCTCTTTGTTCTATGTATCTCTTTAGTGAGACTACAAAAAAAAAAAAATTGCAGAACACTGTGCCACATGTTGTAGGTAAGGAATTGAGAAGTGAATGGTTTTTTTGTAAAGGTGTTTTTCATGTGATATTTTATAAACATATTAAAAAAATCTCCATCTCATAGCAAGGGATGGAACTTTGCCTGGGAAAAAAGTTTCAAAACACCTGTTCAGAGTAGCATTTCTCCTCCAAGGAATCGATGTTCGGCATGAGCTAACTGCTGTGCTTGCTGTAAGGACAAGTATCTAGGGTACTTATTTCTCCATAGATTGTTGGGTATTGAGGAATGAGGAACTATAGATTATTCCTAATAGCTTTTGATTGTGGGTTGAGTGAGGGAGTGCATATACTTAGCAAATCCAGTGTTCTCTGATCTCTAACTCTAAAGCAGCTTTATCTGAACCCCAAATCTTGTGACACTAAGTACCATTACTGAGCCAGTCTGTATGGTAGGCATCCATTATCAAAATTTACCTCTTACCTGGTGGGTGTCGTCTGATAAGAAAGAAGACAGGTCATTTTAATCTCTTGGGATAATCACAGAAAATTGCAGCCCATACTCTTTATTACAGAATTCAAGTTTAGAAACAGACACTTTGTTTTAAACCATGATGGTTCTTGACCCCAACCATTTATTTGGGTCATTTTCCCTAGTTTGGAATACTGGGAAAGAACCTGGAAAACCCTGTGTAATTCTGTGACATGAGATCTGGGGTGACCATTTGGGCAAAGCACCAATGGCAATCATTTATTGTGTTTTGCATTTCCTGGGATTTATTGAAATAAGAATTCACTGTGATTATGTCATCTTCTGGCCAGTATCAGGCAGCTCTGCTTTTAATTTGGTTAATTTTATTTTCTCTGAAGAGGGAAAAGAGGCACAATTTAATCTTTGCCTCCACAGACATATTAAAGGTCATATGTTAATCCATTCTTATGCTACTACATTAAATGCCTTGTGTAAATGGATAAATGGGCATGTGCCCAGCTTTAATTTTTTTACAACAGAAAGATCAGACTTCTGTATGGCATTGCTGAATTTCAGAGGCTCTCTGGTGTATCCGTAAATCTGAATGTTGCCTTTAATTTTTCCAATCTACATAACCATGTGATTCATGCTGCAAATGAAATCAGGAAGCAGTACAGTGTTGAAACAGGAGTATTCTCCAGTTCACTTGTCTTCCTGATCCTTGTACTTTATTTCATGTGTCAGTGTTTACATAACGTATTGTATTTTCTGTGAAAAATAAATAAATCATGGCACTTTGATTTTCCTTTTCTTCATGTGACATTTTCTCTTTTGCTTTTAAATCTTTGTTGGAAATGGAAACTGAAGGAGCTCAACTCTATCTGTCTTCCCTCCAGCCCTGCCCCTCAGAGTATAGACCTGCCTTCTATAGGCCAAATAGCTCAGAATGTTTATCCCAAAAACTTGAGGGAGAAGACTTTGGGAAAGCCAGGGAGGGTTATTTTTATTTTACCTATGGAAAAACCAAGCATAGTAGGAATTACTCAATGTTTGAACATTGTGCCTGAAAGAAATGAAGTTCCTGGATCCCTCTTAAGTTTTTGGATTGAGAATCTCTGGACTGTGAGAATCTAATTTTCATAGAAATCCTGCTCTAATTATATCTAACATTTAGGCAATTTACCCCCTTGTTGGAGTTGTCAAAAGGAACAAAACTTTTTAATTTTTTATTTTATTTTATTTTTTAGGAACAGGTGCTCATTGTATTGCCCAGGTTGGCCTGGAACTCCTGGGCTCAAGTGATCTTGGTGCCCCAACCTCTGGGACTATAGGTGCATGTGCCACTGTGCCCAGCTGGAATAAAACTTTTTTTGTAAATGAATTCCTAACATCCTTGCTGTACCTTGCACTTTATACCCAATAATTTCCAGTAGCCATCTGGTTTTGTACCATTGGTTGTCATTTTTCTTCCCATAGGACCCAAAATTCCCTTGAAACTTGGTTTGATTTATTTCTCTTGTTTTAAGGAATGATGCTTTTATTATAATAACATAATTCCAGAAGGGTGAAGTCCACAGCCTTAATTTCTTTTCCCTTGTCTAGAATGTCATCCTTTTCTCTGTTTATTTGCTTCTCTTACTTTTAGGGCTGTCTCCCTCTTCTAAGAAGGAGAGTCCTGTGATGACCTCCTTTTCTGAACCCTCTTGAGTACCTAGTGCCTTAACTAATGGCATAGAACCTTACCATATAAACCTTGTAAACCTGTCTCCCAAAAATATTATTGGCATGCTAGAGGCAAAGACTATGTCACACCTTGTTGTATTTCCAGTGCTCAACATGGTTCCCTGGACATTTTGATACCGTACATGTTTAATGACAACGAAGAAAGAAACCTGGAACTAACATATATACAGCTGTTGCTCTCAATTTGGCATGGATTTTTAGACCACAGAAAATACAGCAAGTCATAAGTCCTGCAGTACTCAAAGGGCAATTTGA